ATGAGTGTTCCTGCTTGAACAAAGAGCTTTTCTATAATCGCATATCTAGTCTCACATGGCTGGAAAGCCCACTTTACGTCAGTTAAACTCTATGGACATTAGGATTAGATTTATTGTCCGACGACATTTTGATTGAAAGGAATAATAAGAAATTAGTTGGGGCTTTTCAATAGTATTTAAAACGCATTCCATTTTTTTTGTCCAATGAATGGGGTTACGGTTTAATGACGCTCTCAAAAGTCGTATATGTGACTTAAGGTAAAGACATGTATCTAATCGATCCGTATTTTTTAAGGGAAATATCACAGTGTACATGTATAGCTTTTGTCTGTATAATTTTTGCTTGCATCATAATCAAGATAATTGTCATTTCTAAATCCGACGCGCACGTATTCGGCGTCAAGTCCAAAACTGATGGCCGACAAAATATTACTTTAGACAATGCAAACAATACACACAATGGCTGATAATACCGACAATTATTTATCAATGTATAATTTGTATGTAATCCATTATTTGTTCCAGTTCAATGTATCTTTCAACATTGAAGGAAGAATGGGGTAGTATTATGAATAAAATGAAAATATGAATAGCGAAAAACATTCACAAGTATCCCAGACCATGTTGAAACATGGAGAGACTAATGTCATCCTACACAACGCTTGTGTCGGGGGTTTTAGGCATAAAACTAATAACTCACATTAAGGGGTCAATGGAGTTTCGCACAAGATCGCAAATAATCCGCGGACTTTCTGTAGAGTTTTTGCGAAATAAAGGAAAAGACTTTTCCGTGGTAGTGTATGTTAATCTGTCTAATTTACTGCAATACAAGAAGGTAAACATGCGTGTGTGCAAACGAAACGCGATAGAATTCTCTCTCTCTCTCTCTCTCTATATATATATATATATATATATATATATATGTAACAAATCTATCTCTACTACAAAATTGTGAAAGGTTTTATGTAGAAAAGGCAAAATAGCGGTGAAGATATACGAATGGATCAATGAATATCAGCAAAAACCTTTTCAATGTATGGCATAATGGGAAATATCACTTTCTCGTTCTCTCCTCTATCGCTATCTCGTTTTGTCTCTTTATCGTTTTCTCGTATCTTTCTATCTCTTTCTTGCGTTCTCGCTCTATTCCTTTCTCGTTCTGTCGCTTTCTCGTTCTATTGCTTTCTCACTTTCTTGTCTCGTTCTATCATTTCTCGCTCTATCGCTTTCTCGTTTTCTCCATACATAGCTTTCTCGCATTCTCACTTTATCGTTTTCTCGTATTGTTCTATCACTTTCTCGTTCTATCGCTCTATCGCTTTCTCCCTCCATAGCTTTCTCATTCTATCGTTTTATCGTTTTATCGTATCGTTCTATCCTTTCTCTCTCTATCGCATTCTTGCTTTCTCCCTCCATAGCTTTCTCACTTTCTCGTTCTATCGCTGCTCTATCGCTTCCCCTCAAATATTCATGACCTTCAATGCAACCAGCAAAGAACATCACATAGATCGAACTGTGTCAGCTGCTAAGGCTCATCTCCTGATTGATGTCGCAAAATATATTAAACAGTTCACCTGTTGAAAAGGAGTAATGGATAGATTTTGCAATGGAATACACCGAATCTCGTAGCTCATGGTGATAATCTGAAAGCATTTATTTCAAATTTATCTGAGCTTCCATATGTTATCTGTGTCCAGAAGTCATTCCTCTGTGTAGAGAGTAGTTTTAATATCAAGGGATAGGCCAGTTTCCGACAGGATACAGTAATTAAAATGAGTAATTAAGATGTCTCAAATCCTCGTAGAGGAGCCTGTTCAATTTTCTAAAATCTGATTTGTCCTTCATTGAGTGAGTGAGTGAATGAGGTTAAAGGGCGCTTTTAGTATTCCAGCAATATCACGGCGGGAGACACCACAAAAAAGGTTCACACATTGGACCCATGTCGGGAATCGAACCCGGGTCTTCGGTGTGACGAGCGAACGCTTTAACCACTAGGCTACCCGACCGCCCCTGTACATGAAAGAGCACAAGCTAATGCAGTTAAGATTTACTTTGATGAAAATAAATCCTGACAGTGATTCATGTGTACAACACTGGGAATTCTAATGTAAACGATAATATCAAATTAACAGAGGATGGTCATAAGCCCTAATTCATTTGTTGGTATTTTAACAGTCACAATGTTTTGTGGAGAATCATTAAATCAGACCGCAACGGAACAGTAATCGAAAACGTTTTGGATGAATCTGACCTGGGCCCACTTGCAAAAGATGATCTTAGCGATAAGACTATTGTTAGCCTATGTTAAAGTATGGGAGTTAAGATCATCTTAGCGCTAAAATCGCTTTGTGCCAGTGAGCCCTGGTGATTTTAAATCATGGTAAAATGACCCGAATGCATCTATGGATCCTTTCGATGATATCCTCCTCTTTAGTATCTAAATGTAGCTGGGATATGTTCCAAGACGATGCTCTTGGTAGTGATCACTTTCCAGTATTCATTGAAATTCATGACAGTCCACTTAGAGATTCTTGTGTACATGTTCAACACTGGAAAGATGCAAACTAGTCCGATTTTGTCCTCTTTGCGAGCAACATATTACTTCTGAACTAATAAACGAAGAAACTGATGTTTAAATGGCAACATTACTTCTCACATTGAAATATCCAGGCTGCTATTTGACAATCGTCAGGTAAGCAGTTTTCTTTCATTCCCAAAGTTTGGTGTTACGATGAATGTGAAAAGGCAAACAAAGGAAGGACACAAGCCTAGTTTGACATACTTCTCTTCCTTGTGATCTGGCTGTGTTCAGAAAGAAACGTGTCGAGTTTCAACGTGTCGTTCGTGGGGCAAAACGCTGCAGTTGGCGTAACTATAGTTCAAGTATAAATAGATTTACTCATACGATGAACTTTAAGGTACCACATCGAAAACAAACAATTCCTCTCCTGGAGCAGATAATTTATGTTATGAGGTGTTTAAGCACATGCCTGATTCTGCTCTTTTAATTATCCGAGAGCTGCTTCATACTTGTTCGAGTTCTTGGTTTATTCCTAAAACCTGGACACATGCCATCATTGTCCAAGTTACCAAACCAGGGAAGGATCCAATAATGCCTGCTTCATACAGACCAATTTACCTAACTTCCAACCTATCCAATAGATTAGGCTTCTGTCAAGAATGAAGTCAGGCTTTAGAAAGAGACCTCTGATATGAATGTGGCCTGGGCATTCAATAGAGTAATGCTTCACTGTCTCGGGAGTATTTTTGTCAGTGTGTAGTACATACAAGGGAGACCTCTTCATGCGTGACACTTGCGGTAAGCATTTAACCCACGGTGTCCAGGACGAAGTCGACGAACTGTCCTGTTTGTTTTTACAGAAGGACAAACTGAAAGCAGATGTCGGCCAGTTACCCCAGCATCCCACAACTGTTGCCAGCTCGTGTTTAAATAAAGTCGAAATCTGTTAGTTGGGGTCTGAATTCTGATATTGTCACCTCAGAGTATTGGAAGCCAGATTTCGCAAGTTGGTCTGCTGTTTCATGTCCATGCAGCCCAACAGGAGCTGGAATCCACACAATGTCACACGTTATTTAGTTTAAGTTCAACAATGTATTCAACTTTAATATTTCATAAACAATGTCACTTCGTGAACCATTGACACTCTATTCAATTATTTTAACACCCGCCATGTCAGTAAATATAACTAGGATGTGTTGGGCGCAAATAGCCCTTTAATGGTCCAAGTCGCCCCAAACCCAAATACCATACCATACCATGCTATACCATACCATACCATACCATACCATGCTTATCATTCCTGTTTTACAGTAAAACCGGATCTTTACCCTCAGAAATACGTTAAATAGAATAACGTCAAAAAGGTATGTTTAAAATGAGTGTGAATGAATTAATTTGGTTTTGACGTCGCGTTGAACACTGCGTGTCAAAACGATGTGGAAGGGAAATCGAAAGTGATAAATGGTTCTGAGAAACCACATACTCATGGTGAAAGTGGGATTCGAACCCATACGTTCGGATTCTGATACGTACCTCTGCCAAGCAAATTGCGGCGACGTAGACGGCTTGGCTATCTGTCATAAATATACGGCTGGAGGATGAAGCACACTTTTACAGCCTTATGAAATGGCGCTACTTAATAAACAAGCTGCAGTTCACTATAGGTGAGGGGACAAGGGTGGCCTAGTCGTTGAGGCCGCCGCAATAGGCTGTGCAAAGTTGCATCCCTTGAGCACGCCAGAAACCTAGGATTGTTTATCAACTCTAAAACTAAGAATAAATCATATTCAAACTGTGGTTTAAAATACTCGTGTGTCCTTTGCACACAGTATTCTCGTGTTCATATCTACCACGCCGCGATTCGCTGTGCAGAGTTGCGTCCCTTGGGCACGCCAGAAACCAATGATTGTGGGTTCGATTATGTTTCTAGGTTTGTCAGCACCACACCCATGGGTTCCACCAAAGTGGTATCTATTGCCCCCTCCCCCCCCCCCCCCCCCCCCCCACCACTTCACACACTCATAACTGGAATACTTTTCAAATCGGCGTTAGAACCAACTCACTAACTCATCCTACATGATAGTATCCTGTAGTCTCGCCCAAGACATTGACTAACAACCTCTCCCTGTTCCAATGCGGTACAGTCCTCACTGTGACAATAACCCATACGGATCGATTATCAGATACTCTCAGTACCTGTGTTCACCGGTCACTTGCTCTCACTGTGTGTGGGAGGCGCCAGTCATGGAGCCCTGTTTGAAGACTAATTCACCAGCAGGGGGAGTTATGGAGGTGAAACAAACTGTTTGACAGAATGACACATTTCATTCATAAGTGCCATACAGAGATGGATGATTTGTAGCGCCAGAGAAGCTTGTGAAAAAAATCCCAATGCCATTGGGAAACCTGGAGATTGTGTTTATAGTGGTGACAGGGGTCGTATTGTTGTTCTCTGTGTGTAGTAATATATTGGTTATAGTGTTGGTGATTAAAAACCCCAAATTGAGGAACGTCACCAACCTGTTCATCTGCAACCTCGCCATCAGCGACATCCTGCTCGCCGGCATCGTCCTACCTCAGAATCTGCATGACGTTTCTCATCCAACTGATAACTATGAAGGTAGGAACTTATAACACTGTTCTGCCAAATGTGGTATGCGGTATTTTCATGTTTTCGTTGGTGGTAATATAATACAACAGTGTGTGTATGTGTGTCGGCTGTCAAAATGCTCGTGCATCCTGTGGTATTTGTTAAAACAAATTGAAAATTAATATTCAGAGAACTAAAAAATTTAATGTGTAAATATGTTTGTACTTAAATATAGTTTCTAACATAATTAGACCCCTGAAGATCCGGGGTAGAATAGGTTGTTGAGACTGCCAATTTGCTCGAAACTGCTACCCCTGAAAGGAGTGTTCAGTGGCAAAGTTATCATAGAAAAAGAGAAAGATCATGGCCATCAAATGTCATTCCATTCGTGACCAACTCGTGTTATTCCGGGACAAGCCGAATAGCGACTCGTGCCCCTCTCATGGCCATTTTTGCGACCGGGTTCCGTCTTAGCGCAAACGGGCATACCTAAAACAATTGTCAACTCGTTGCATAGTGGTTCACATTTATTTCCCCATATATTATATATATTTCAGATGCATTTTAAAGCTCATCTCGACATGCGAAAGTATACAGTATGATTGGACACATTTAACTGTGTCTTGGGTATATTCTGAGGGATTCTTTGACGTATTTTCGCACATAACATTCATCGATAGGGGGGGGGGGGGGGGGGGGGGGGGGGTCTTCTTGCAGGTTACGAAAAGAAGCGAGTGGTGACGAATGATGACATTCGTGTACAAAATAGGGACCAGTCAGTTTATGTTCTGTTTGTATAGATTTATAAATATCTTTCACATCTCAGCCATTAATTTGGTCAGAAAAACGTCTATGGGTTGCCTGGTTATTCTGAATGTACCTTCACGTTGAGTGAATGAGTGTTGTTTAACGCCGCAGTTAACTTCAGCTTTGTCACGACAAATTGAGTCGTGGCCTGGCTGAATAACAATCCATGTCGTCGATATCCATCTCTCTCGACTGATTGTTACTGACCGCCATGATCTTCATCAAGGGCAATGCACTGATTCTTGCACCGGTCAAATAGCGACTTGTTGCCATCACCACTAAAGAAATTTAATGAGACTTCACTTTCCCTCTATCTGCTACATTTAAATGCACGGTTCAGGAAATGTTTCCCTACTGTATGCCTTGAATAAGTTAATGGAGAAATATGTATCATTAACAAAACTATACTCCTAAGGTTTCATATAAAACAAACATTTGTAAAAAGTCTTAGGCCCAGAATATTTTTTTATCATGTCAATATGAAATATCCAACATACAACATGTTCATATACGACGATATATTTTACCCAACAGAAAGTTACTATTTATTCGTGACAAATCGTGTTTTTCCGGGAAAACCCTTTCGTGAAGGTTACGGAAAGACACGAGTGGTGTCATGTGCTGGCGGATGCTAATTGGTTTCAGGAAGTAATTCCGCAACTTGACTCTTTATCTAACGGAAACCCTTCAAGTTAGCCTCTCAGGAACCACCTGCAGCTGTGGCTGGTTGGACGACTATTTTATTACTCTGTATTTCGGAGTAGCCTATTCAGCGTAAGGAACTTACTGAGATGTTTTAATTCTTTACAATTCGATCTACCTGCGATATATTTCATAGTCGATATTTTCGGTGACACAAGCAGTTTTTATTATTTATATACGTTGATCTAAGGTAGCAATACAAGTAATGGAACTCGTGCAAGTGAACTTTTCAGTGTAAACACATCCCGTGCTGCGTTTTGTGACGGGACATGCATCGCATTCATTACAGTTCGCCCTAGCTCATTTTAGAGCTTAATAATAATAATTAAAGTTTAATAATAGCATACGATAACAGTTAAAGAATACAAAATGAAGCATGTTCGGTATGACTAGTTAGTGATGTTAGAAACAAGGCAACATGTGTTTCGTAGCAATTTTCTTGGTCCTGTTGGTTTTTAAAATATTTGGTCGCAATCAAGAACTATTTTACCAGCACATTGCAAACATGGACGTGAACAGTGACGAACTTAATGAGTGAAAAAACCCAGTAGACTCCTAATTGGATGTTCGATACCTAATTAGTTTCAGATTATTTAGAGTAGGATGATTACATTACTGTGTTGGAAATTAGGAGCGCAACCTTCTCCTGTGCACGTTACGTACCACGTGCCCGACCAATGGTCACGTGTGGCCAGAATATCAGACTCGAAATACTTTCTACCTATTCCATATTGGGGGCTTGGCAAGGAATGGCATTAACATATCTTTCTTTTTGTTTTGTTTATGTCTAGTTTCTTAAATGTTGTTATAGTTTTGTTTAGTTGTTTTCGTTAATATGTTGTTTTTTGTTTGAATTTTGTTTTGATATTGTCTTTTGTTGTTGTCTTTTCTTTGTTTTGTTTATATTTTGTGTTGTTGTTTGTTTTGTTTTGTTGTTGTTGTTGTTGGAGGGAGGCAACTCCATGAAACCCTGACACTGTATATGTAGATAACAGTGTTTGTTACCTTACAGATTTTCCTAACTTTGATTAACTACCTCCTTAATTGAAAACGAATAATCTCTTCGAAAAAGAAACGCAAGAGTAGTAAAATCGTAAATATCTGACAGAATGTTGCCAACATCCATACAAAATTAATACCAAACATGAACTGGTCCTTTCTGCATGGATTGGGATTGAATTGTGTTGAAAGAATGAAGTACTGCAGAAATTTGGTGACAAGATACACAACCACATGACTTGCAATTGCAACATCACTTGTTGGGCTAGAACAACGTTGGGTTTTCAAGTTCCCAGCAAAAACATACCACGACTGCAAACAGGAGAATCATCTTCAGCCATAGCCAGGTTTTTTTCTACGTAGCACCAAACACCATTACAAGACTGGAACCGTTATCAGACACACGGGACCTTTCCAGATCCGGTCGACCACTCATTACTACTAGAGCACAGAACAGATTCATAAGGCTACGTCACTTACACCAGCTAGCAATACCAGATTTTCAGCCCAGACAGTGAGGAGTTAGGAACCGTTTACGCGCTGAAGGTATTTGCGCTAGAAGACCAGTTTGAGGTGTCATTTTGAAGGACGTGTATCGTCGGCTACGACGTCAATTGTGTCATGGTGACAGGGCATGGCCACAACTGCGATGAAGACAAGTTTGATTCAGTGATGAGTCACGTTTTATGCTTCTCCTTGCGGATTGTAGACGTCGTGTTTACAGGCGTCACGGGGGGAACGTTATGCACGAAACTACATACAGGAAGTGGACAGCCTTGGTTGTGATAGTTTGATGACGTGGGAAGCCATCTCCTAGATTGTCAAAACTAACTTGGTGTACGTTCTGGTGAATTTAACGGCACAACGTTACACGTCCTTCCCATTATGCAACAAGCGAACGTCATTTTCCAACAAGACAACCCCCGACATCACACGGCAAGACTGACTACTTTTTACAGGATTCACAACATCCAGTTCCTGCCATGGCCCTCCAGGTCTCCAGATTAAAACCCAATCGAACATGCATGGGATGCACTGGATCGACTGCGAGCATGTCAGCAACAATCACAGAACCTCCAACAGTTGCCACAAGAGCTGGGTGAACATTTCCCAGGCCACAATTCAGGATCTGATTGCTTCCGTGTGATTACGAAGCCAGTCAGTTTGGGACTGTAATGGTGGCCATAAAAGATATTGAGAACAGATGACCTTCACCTTGAAATCAACTATCTACTGTGTGCCATATGGAACCTGGGTCAATGAGAATGATGTGTGCCAACTTTGAACAATTGATAACCATCTGTTGATTATTAATATGATATACATGTATAACATTTACATCTAAAATCACTTTTGCTCTTTCTTGGCAGAGTATATATACGAGGGGTGTTCAATAAGTTTTGCAACTTTAATGTTAGACCAAGTCGCAGAATATCTTTTGCACTTTTATTTTTCAATATAGTCTCCATTCACCTCAATACACTCATTCCATTTGTCCTCCAAGCTTTTAATACCACTTTTATAGAAATCCGCAGATTGGTCCTCTAACCACGCCTCTATGGCAGCCTTTATATCCTCGTCATCCTGGAAGCGTCTTCCACGTAGGGCAGATTTCAGTTGCCGAAACAGGAAATAATCACTGGGGGCTAAGTCTTGGCTGTAGGGTGGGTGATTTAACTGTTCGAATCCACATTCACATAATTCGCATATGGATTTCTTTTGCTTTGCATCCCTCCTTGGTAAGGAACTTTATTAAAGCGCGTTGTTCAGGTTTGAGAGAATCCATGATTGTAACCACCCTTAGGTAAATAAAGCCATCACATCTAACTTGTTGTTGTGTCTGGAACTTGTTATGACACGTGTCAACCTGATGTTATGACTTGTGTCACACCTGTCGCAAGGTGACATTGTTTGTGTAAACACAAATGCCCAAGTTGCAAAACTTATTGAACGCCCCTCGTGTATAATATCGACATCAATTTGGGGAATTAATATGTTTGTTGTCCCAGTATATCATTGCATAATAAAATATATCCACTTTCGTTAAATAAGAAGGGACTTGATGCATGCGTCATACATAACTAAGTCTGAAATGAATACATACTGACACCTCATCTACAAATTCCATAACGGTGATCCCTTGACTTTGCAATCGCTCCATGTCTGTGGCAAATCGACTGTCCAGCTGGCCATATGTCCTCCTCTTTGGTTGCTCCTGGCAGGAGGTTGCCATGGCAGCAACAAAAGCCTTGTTCTCCTCATACATTTTGTTTCACCTCGATTGGAAATGGACTGGCTCAAAATTTGACGTGAAGTTTACATCGATGATAAGGTCCCTGGGTTATAAAAACAAAGCTTTAAACTCTAAATGCCTTTGAGCTTTCAGTTGATTGTCTAGTTAGTTAACAGGAATACTCCTGGGCGGCGTCAGGCAACAAACAAACATTTCACGTAAATTGTGTGAGTACTGGCGCTACCGGTAGGGCATGCATGACATGTTTTCTCCTTTCAAGAACACACTG